CGCGATCACAGATAATACGGATGAAACTTCCTGTTGCTGTCACACGCATACAGGCGAGTCCTTCTGGTGTGTTCACAGATATACCGTCAAACCAGCGCTCTTCTTCAGATATACAGCCGTATCCAACTGGTGTGTTCACAGATATACCGTCAAACCAGCGCTCTTCTTCAGATATACAGCCGTATCCAACTGGTGTGTTCACAGATATACCATCAAAACATGTTCAAAACTTTCGAGGTACATTCGAAGTGGAACAAACATTGTCACTAAATGGTCCTTCACACTTATTTCGAATTGACAGGAATCAAGGAGAATCAGCCAGAAGATAATAATTTCCAAAATTCGAACCGCATTCTGGAGAGAATGTCTAAATAAACAAACAAAATTCAAGATTTGTAAGAATGCTGTTGGAATACTTAGAACGCACTTCGAACCCGCCTCGAAGTATTCTTACTCATTCCAAATGTACTAGATCACGAATGCAGTTCGAATGAATCGGAATACAGTAGGAATAACTAGAACGCCGTTTGAATACACTAAGAATACTTAAAATGAATTTCGACTGCAGTACGAGTCCGGTTCGATTGCTGCGTGAATAGCACTCGAATTTCAGTTGGAACGTACCTCGAATGCTGCACGGATTTACATAGAATGCATTCAGAACCTTCTTGGAATGGCCCCCGAATATGGGTCGAATGTTAAAGAATTTTAACACAGAATGCAGCTCGAATATTTCAAATGTCCTTCAAATGCACTTAGAATGTAACACGAATGTCCGGTATGCATCAAGAAAGCTGCCGGAATTTTCCACGATGAGGTATAAAAACCGGTTGAATCTGGACTATTCATCAGTCACTGCCCAACTCCCATAGAGTATGGACCACCTGGACCATGTTGTGGTGGTCCCGATTGCTGTCCTCCAGCAAGCCCACATTGAAAGAGATGTGAAAAAAACAGGAGAAGACCCAGGAGATTCCAGACCAGACCATGGCTGACAGAGGAAAGGAGGAGTCTGTTTGACATTACACAAGACTGATGGAAGAGCTCAGTCATTCTTCAACTACCTTTAGAATGGAGCCTGCCATGTTTGATGAGTTAGTGCAGAAAGTGGGACCAAGAATACAGAAACAGGATACTTATATGAGAAAGGTGCTACCACCAGGCTTGAAGCTAGCCATCAAATTGGGGTTCCTGGCTTCAGGTGATACCACAGCATCATGTACAGCTTCCACGTGGCAAGGAACACAATCAACCTGATCATCTCAGATGTATGTAAGGTCATTTGGGGGAATACAAGGATGATGTTATCATCTGCCCTACCACTCCAGAAGAATGTACACCCATTGAAGAGGTATTGAGAAACAGGTGGAACATACCTCATGCCGTAGGAGCTTTAGATGACAAACATGTGACCATTAGGAATCCTGCCAAGGGCAGCTCATTGTACCACAACTACAAGGGCTTCTTTTCTGGGGTCCAAATGGCCCTTGTGGGCGGACGTTGGTGCTTACGGAAGTATGTCTGATGCTCAGATCTCCAACAAGTGCGAGCTCAAGGATTGTCTTGAAGACGAGAGCACAGGATTTCCTGATCCGTTCGCCTTACCACAAGATGACTAGCGTATGCCATGCTTTATTCTGGGAGATTATGCCTTTGGATTAAGAGCCTTCCTGATGAAACCGTATGGTCATATGACTCTCCAGAGAGACGAGAGAATCAACAACTACAGGATCAGTCGGGGCCGACGGGTAGTGGAAAATGCATTTGGAATCATGGCCCCACAGTTGGCAAATCCTCCGCGCCACCACGCTGTCAAGGCCTTCCGTTGTGAAGGACATCATTGAATGCTGTGTCTGCCTGCACAACTTGATGAGGACTCGTTATCCTAATCTCCACAATGGGATGGTGGATGAACAGCACAACGGGGTGCCAGGAGGCTGGAGACAACTTACGCAGCTTGAAGGTGTGAATGATGTCTGAAGTTTCAGTGACGTTTTTAAGGGATTCGGCGGTGTTCTGATGACTCCAGGGATCATTTGAAGAGCATTCGAGACGTTCTGACTGTATTCGAGGTGCATTCGATGTACATTCGAGCTGTATTCCAATCGAAATATTCCGATACGTTTGGGGAGTATTCCACCTAAATTCCACCAGCAATCGAAGTACATTCGAGGCGCATTCGGGACATTCTTGCAGGATTTGAAGTGGCTTGCTTTTTCGATTCTCCCTCGAATACGTTCAGAATACTTAGAATGCAGTTAGAATGCAGTTAGAATGCAGTTAGGACGCACTTCAAATGCTGTTCGATATTTTTCCACTTCGAATGTACCTAAAATGAAGGGGGTATTAGGTGACATAATCCCCGCCGCAAATTTTGAACATGTTCAAAACATTCGGGCATGTTACAAGAATTGACACGAATAGTTGGAGTGCATTCGGAATGGAGTAAGAAGTTTTAGAATGCAGTTCGAATTTCAAGGAATCTCCAGGAATTTTCATTCCGACGGCATTCAGGCTCATTCCGCCTCAAGTGTGAAGGGGGTATTAGGTGACATAATCCCCGCCGCAAATTATCAAATCAAACTTAAAAAGTAATGAAAGTGAAGGTCGTAATTTAAGATGAAGTTAAATGAGAACCTCGCACAAATATTTTCAAGACTCACTTTGACCTTGACATGAAAGTCTTAGTGTATGAAATATGCAAAAATAGTAATAACTAAATTGCTTATTGAAAAACATTCAAGGGAAGTCTTGAAAGTCTATGAAGAAAAGCCAGTGAACTGTTCTTGAGATATCTCGCTGACAACCTTTACATGCAGTTTATCATGCTGAAATCTTCAAAGTGTCGCCGTGACCTTGGAAATTAAGTGAAGTGAAGTGCAGGTCACCAAAATCAACTGGGCCCTGCGCCTTTATTAGATAAAGCTTAGTGTTGAATATGAAGGAACTCCAGTGAACGGTTCTTGAGATATCTCGCTGACAAGGATAAAATGTTAATGTCCCCTTGTGACCTTGAAATGAAGGTCAAGGTCACCAAACCTAAATGGGACCTTTCTTTTACTGTGATGAACCTTCGCGCTAAACGTGCGGCGGGGGATAAAAATATCGAACGGAATTTGAAGTGCATTCTAACTGCATTCTAAGGTATGATTACTGCATTCTATGTATATTCTGAACGTATTCGAGGGAGAATGGAAAAGGCAAGCTACTTCAAAATCTGTCAGAATGTAACGAATGCGCACCGAATGTATCTCGATTGCTGCTGGAATTCAGGTGGAATATTCTTCAAATGTATCGAAATATTTCGATTCTGGTTGGAATACAGCTCGAATGTACCTCGAATACAGTCAGAACGTCCCGAATGCTCTTCAAATGAGCCCTGACGTCATGAGAACACCGCCGAATCGCATAAAAATGTTGCCGTCTGTCACTAAACGTCCGATAGCATTTGGGAGTTGTCGGTAAAATATTGTTTATTCTGACATTCTCTCCCGAATGCGGTTCAAATTTTGGAAATATTTTTCTTCTTGCTGATTCCTTCTCCTTGGTTCCTGTCAATTCGAAATAAGTATGAAGGAGCCTTAAGAAAATATGGGGCCTCCTTACCTGGCAACTGCCCAAAGATGGCAATGCTGTTATCACAGGGGCTTGTAACACAAACAAATGGCATCAAGGTGTATTCCCTCACTGACGGGGTCTTCACACTATATAAAAGGTGACAGTATACACCTTGGAGCCAGTTATTTGTGTTACAAGGCCCTGTGACTGTAATGACGTCGTTTAGTCGTTAGTCCGCCTAAAATCGGCGGGGTAATAGAGTCGGACGACTTATTAGACGTCCGTTGTTAATGCCAGAGCACCAAGTCATGGGGAAATGTCCACTGGTCGGACCAAAGTCGATTTCTTTAGTTCATAGTTGATGAAACACTGCACATAGACAACGGAATATCTTGGAGAAAGTACTGTTTAGTGGGGTATACTTGATCTTATGGGGAGATCACTGACAACCTAGACAGGGCTGTTGTACCAAATTTCAATGACCATCCTCTGAACACAAGGCCAGTCTTCATGCCAGGCCACGTCGTGCACATGCCATTGGTGATTTCTTATGTCAAGAGGAGGTAGCAAATGCACGTGAGTGAGTTTAGTTTAAAGCCGCACTTGGCAATATTCCAGCTATATGGCGGCAGTCTGTAAATAATTGAGTCTGGACCAGACAATTCAGTGATCAACAGCATGAGCATCGATCTGCGCAATTGGGAACCGATGACGTGTGAACAGAGTCAGCGAGCCTGACCACCCAATCCCGTTAGTCGCCTCTTACGACAAGCATAGTCGCCTTTTGTGGCAAGCATAGGTTGCTGAAAACCTATTCTACCCCAGATCTTCTAAAAGATAGGGGTGTTTCAGCAAAGAAGTTAATGTTTTGCATTCTATTAATAACTACATGTATCCATGTGCAAGATTTTAAACTCTTGTTCCAAAGTCATTTTCATTTTTATAAAAGAATTGACTCATGTTGTTGAATCTTCTTGGTTGCATGCTATACTTTAACCTCACTTACTCCAAATGTGTCTCTTATTCATTCCTGACATTTTCCTATTCTCTGTATCATTTATAGACATGAAAAGACGGATGGATAGACGAATAGCGTGCATGCATGTGTATGTGTAGGTGCAGCTGCTTGTACTAGCCCAGACTGAAGCTGGTTTTATAGTGCTAGCCCACTGAGATACCAAGCTGCAGTGAAGCATGGATACCCCACTCAGACACATTATATTGACTCGAGCCGACCAGTCCTTGTTGTACCCATTAATGCCGGCCAGGCAGGGACCAACAAGTACCATATTTTAGCGCGCTTTTGGTATGGCGCGGTCGGGGATCGAACCGGGGACCTTCGGCTCTCGGTGGGCGCTCTAACCACTACACCACGGAGGCAAGTTCAGTTGACACAAAACACAAACAAAAATTTGTTATGTAAATTTATACAGACAAGTTCTTCAGAAAAATGCAAGAACTGTGCTGACAAAACATAACTTTAGATTCATCCAACCATGAATGCGGCTTCGGCCTCTCATTCGAACTTCTTCCAACTTTTTCATGACTTCAACAGCCTCCTTTGTATTTGTCTGTGAATAGTATTTTAAGACAGTGTCAAACAAGTCTTCAGTGCCTGGATGTATTAACCAGTAAGGCTCTCTCTAGCACGATACAGATCAACACCTTTATCTTCAGAAACATTTTCAAAATGACTGAGACCAAAGTCAATAAGTATGACATGTCTATCTTCAAGCATGCCCTTCAACAGCATGTTTGATGTTGTCAGGTCTCCATGGACAATGTTATTGCTGTGCATTTTCCCAAGTAGTTTGCCTATCTCAGCAGCTAATGGTTGCAGTCTCTCCACAGCATCATCAGGGTACTGTTGCTGGGTGTCTGCAATGTGTTTCCGGACGGTCATGGAATCCTCTATCAGCTCCATGTAGATGCTGTTAGCCTCCTGGTCCACCATGTACCACGATGTCGATTGTGGGGATGCCTGGACACAAACAAGTAATCAGAGTAACCTGACAGTGAAAACACAGAAGAATGACAAAAGTTTGGACAGATATATTTTCAAATGACAAGTGAACTTGACTGAATGGGATTAAATACCAGTCCGAAATATTTTAGTCATGTAAATAGAATGTATGATAAAAATCTAACGCAAACATATGCTGCAGCAGGACACTATATCAACATCCATGTTATGTTCTAGCTTATCAGAGCTGATATGATGATGGTTTTACATTTGTATTCTGTAGCTGACGCTATGACGGAGCTTGTTTAGGATGGTGAAATAGCCACTGAAACGTTTGAAGGGGAGAATCGCATAGCTGAATGTCCTATACTAAATTTCTACGATTATTAGTCACTAGCAACGATTTACAGCTATCGATATATAGAGCTAAAATGTGACATTTAACGTAACAATTCAATGTGGAAACCACTAAGACGGAACCCACCATGTGTTCTACATCGCAACATTGCCCGAACTTCGCCTTTAATTCTCTGAGAAGTCAGAGATTTATCTAGAGTTGGGTGTCGGTAAGACTTCGAAAATCGCTCCTTAACCATACATGGTTGTCCATAAAACGAGCTGCTATAGAGCCTAGCTTCAGCTCCTTGTTGGACAAGTTGTCTTTCCATTTTGATAAATACCTAAGCTATTAAACATTGAATGATTGGAAGCTCTCATCAACATTCACATGAAACTTCCTGTAAGAAATCTAAACAAGGGAGAGGTCATTTATGCAGAACATATTTTTCTACAAAATATGTCTGTTGCGGATAGATCTATTTGCAACTGATTTGTTGGGTTAACGTTAACATTAAAAATATTTCCTATCGTTATATTTGTGAAATAGCTTCATTCTAATACTCAAAATATAGCCACGAGCGGCACAAATCTATAGACAACCAAGACTCCCTACATCTACTTGTATTTCCAATACCAGAGAATCATTCAAGGGAGATAATCTGGACATTCACATGTCATTATGGAGGGTAAATCTCAAGGCAGTACAGACTTATCCAGCGATATTGATTCACAAAACATAACATGCTTCTATTTTCCAACATCCTTCTCATCACAGAAAGTGAGTGCTATGGGTTTCGCGTTCCCTTGTTGTGGGTTGGTGTGTGGGTTTAAAATGACATACGATGCATTTGTCAGACTCGCCTGCTTTCAATGTCATCATTAATTTTGTGTGCTGAATTTACAAATTCAAACACTGTTTAACACTGACTTGCTGATCGGACAGTACTATTGATGCGACCTTCTATTGAGCCAGCTCTGTGCATGATAAATGTGATTGTAAAGAGAATGTCATTAACAGCTATACAGTAGCCCCAAACCTCACCAATACCAGGGGCAGGGATAATCTACAACAGGGATAGGTCACTCGCTTGCTTTCTTTACCATTTGTACTAATTAGCGTGTGCCTCGTCATGCTCCAACGCACACAGTGACTTGATTCGTTCCCAGCGCCACTTCGGCTGCGTTTAACAGTACTTCAGCCAGTTTATTGTATCAGTCGGAATTTTACAATGAATGATGAAGAGCAAGAGTTATATGTGAATGAATGAAAGAAATAAAGAAAAAGAACAAAACAAAGAAATACAGACAGACATTTTATTTCAGTAATGTAGGCCCTTGGCCCATAATACAACATAGTGCAATTATAAAGAATACATACATGCTGGATATAGGATGACGATTGGAGTACAGGGTCAATTGATAGTAGTAGTGGATTTATGTCTTAGTTTTAATACGTTGGATAGGAATGTAGTTAATGATTTTAGATAATTTATGTCGTTGCGAGTAATTAAACGCACAAAAGTTTCAATTGTTGGAGGGTGGGTCTGGTGGGTTGTGAAACATTTATTTCTTATTTCAGAATATTTACCACAGATGAGTAGAACATGGAACTCATCTTCAACATAGTTTAAACCAACAGAGTGGCAGTAAAGGCAGAGACGTTGATCATAGGGTGTATTTGTGTGGCGGACGGTTTCCACTGCTAATCTAAAGTTGTTACAGGGGAACATAGCCATAACTTTCCTTTGATATGGGAGGAGGTCACATGACAAGTGTTCGACATTAAGTAAAGATTTAAATTGTGAATAATATTTACATTTAGATGACGAGTCAAGTGAGGACGCCAATTTTGAAGGAAGCAGTCATAAAATCGCTGCTTGAAGATGGATATAAATGTTTTAATGCAGCCAATTTCTTGTGAGATCCATACAAACCCAAAACCATACTGAAAAAGAATTTGTCTTATATGTGAAGCCCAAGTAGATTAATTATTATCATCGAGAGATTTGAGCATTTGGTAGGCCTGATAAGGAAGTCTATGATGTTGTAGCTGCAACAGTCTGCACCAGTACATTATTGATCTAGGGGTATAGTGGTATTGCAGTGAGAGTCTGCCACACTCTCCAAGCACCATGCTATTGTTGGTATACTTGCTGACTTTGATAAAGTCTTACAGAACTTAAAATGTACAGTTTCAATATGTCTGCAATAAGTGGTTCCCCAAATCTCTGATCCTTAACACAGAATAGATGTAATCATGGAGTCAAATATCTTAAAAATGTCCTTGGGATTAATACATCCAAAATGTTTCTGGTAATTATAGATGGAGAATATAGCTTTGCTAAAGAAATACATATGTGAATGAATGAAATAATAAATGATACACACGGCCATCCCTCCCCAAACATGTTAAAGAACGCAAAACTATCGCTGGAACACATGTGTTAACATCAGCTGTCCTTTTTAAAAAAAATCTACTTTGATACATTTTTTTACATTAGTAATTAATTCAGATATCTTACTGCATGTGTGGAATGGCATGGACATTGACAGAATGTTAACTGACACTGTCACACACCCCTCAAAAACAGAAAGTTTAGAACTATCACAAAGCGTTGTAAACACCTTTCCAGTTTTGTCAAGTACTAAGTTCAACAAGAAAGAAAGCAGTTTTAGAACTATAACACTCAAGCATCACAAGCATCAACGGCGGATCAGAACAGATCGGCGATATGTCATATTTTTCACACACCTCAAATACACCCTAACAATTTTTTTATAATTATAAATCTATCACTATTACTTGCAAACACCTTTCACCTGATGGTATATTCCCCTCATAAAAATTAAAGGTGTATGTGATAGATGTTTTAGAACAATAACTAGAAACACTCAAACAATGCCCTGTAGTGTTTCAATGGCAGATCGGCGATATGTCATATTTTTCACACCCCTCAAATACACCCTAACAATTTTTTTTAGTTATAAAACTATCACTATTACTTGTAAACACCTTTCAACTAATGGTATATTTCCCTTCTAAACATTAAACGAATATGTGAAAGAACTTTTTTTAGCGATAGAATTTAGTCTTTCTTCTCTGTGTACCGAGAACTGAAGCCAGTGAGCTACAACATGCCGACTTGAAACTTTACTACAAATCTACTATACTAATACTGACACTAATAACAATTATTTGACTTAAAATGAAGTGACAGAATAGGTAACTTATCTTCTACATGTAGGTTTTCAGTTGTCACAACACTCAGCGAATGTAATCAGCTGTTGAAAATAAACCAAGCTCAATCTTAAAAACTACGCTGCCGCGATATTGGCTACACTGGTCATGTGACGAGCCGAGGCATACGCTAAGGGGCTTTTCGAGGTGTGACCACTCCCTGTTATATAGTCTCCCTGCCAATACTCAAGGGCCTTCCCAGATAGCATTCAGACGTTGGCCCAACGTTGACAATGGTTTTGCCAACATTGCCAACGTTGGGCCAACGTCCGAATGCTATCTGGGTTGTAACCATAATAATCTTTATAGATAATTACATGTTTCCAGACTTTTACCGTGTTTACTGTTCTAGTAACTAAAGATTCTTTAGTGCTTGAATATGTTCTTTGCCAGTATTCAAGTAAGCAAGACTGAGTTCCTACAGGTCGGCAGAAATTCATGTTAACTTTTGGGAGTACTGCACTTTACCGGGCACAGGATTGTAAAGGGTGCCTAACCCTAACCCTAAACCCTAACCCTAACCCTAACCCTAAGGATCGTAAAGGGTTGTTTGACTCTAAAGATGCAAGTGAAGGGAGACGGAGCTATTACCGCAATATAGCGAGACAGCGCTTGAGACAGTGCGGTAGGGCAAGGGCTGCGCCCAGTAAAGTGCATTCTAGCCTAACTTTTTTCAAAATGTGAATAATACAGGTTCAGTATGAAGTTTTCGTAAGAAGCGATCTGTTGTTTCAATGCCATCATATATGATAAGTTAACACTGTTCAAGCAGGGGAGTCAAGGGTATCATCTTTGTTGCTGTTCATGTTGCAGGTGCTGTTGGCTCTCTATGAGAAGAATGTCCAGTTCAAACCCAAGCTGGTCAGTTTGTTCCATGGTCAGCACATGGAGCCATGGTATGTCCGACTAAACCCTGATGGTGTCCATGTGCCTGTGTTGAAGGATGGGACGAAGATCATCAACAACCCAGAAGAAATCATCGACTACATCGACATGATGTCCGACACTGGTAATGCTAGGCCATATTCTTTCCTGGGTTATGGTTAGGTGAGGTGAGGTTAAATTGAGTTTATTGTCGTGCTTGAGAATATTTTGCTTATATGACGACGTGCATGCGTGTGTATGTGTATGTGCGGCTGCTTGTACTAGCCCAGACTGAAGCTGGTTTTATAGTGCTAGCCCACTGAGATACCATGCCGCAGTGAAGCACGAATACCCCACTCAGACACATTATACTAACTCCGAGCCGACCAGTCCTTGTACCCATTAATGCCCCTGGTTTATGGGATGTGGAGGTGTATATATATATGTTTTCAGTATGTGCCCCAACCCCACTAGTCTGCACAACTAGATTTACTTAAGGTTACAAGCCTCAGTAGCTTGCCTGGCCATATTTTACTGCTGTTGACCCTTTAGGACCAAATCAATTTTACTAGACTTGACTGGGCTTGTTGATAAATTCACACATCACACAAGTTTTTTTGAACGAAACAGATTCAGAAATGCGGTATTTTCTCATGTTTTTGTTTTCATCATTTTCATAGGATATTTTATAACTTTCACTTACAAATATCTCAGACAGTACAAGCTAGCATAGTCATGTTGAGCAAAGGCTTCATTAATGATATATGTTCATTTAAAGAGCAGTGATTTAAAGGTTTTACTTGTCACTTGTTCATTTCCCCAAATGGGTACGATGTGTTAGCATGTTAAACAGGTCTTATCATCTCTTACCGATCTGTCTATCTCTCACAACCAATAGTATCAATTTTTACTAGTCTCATCATCTGTTACTAGTCTGTTCATCTCTCGTCAGTTTACTAGACCACCTCAGTGGTGTTGTGGTTAGAGTGTCCACCTGGAGAGCGGATGGTCGTGGGTTCGATCCCTGGCGACGTCATACGAAAAGGCGTTAAAATTGGTCCCTGCCTGGCGCTCGGCATTAATGGGTACAACAAGGACTTGTCGGCTCGGAGTCAGTATAATGTGTCTGAGTGGGTTATTCATGTTTAACTGCGGCATGATATCTCAGTCAGATAGCACTATAAAGTCTGGGATAGTACAATCAGCCACACATACACACGTTGTCATATGAGCGAAATATTCTCAAGTACAACGTTAAACCCCACTTCACATATACTCACCAGTTTACTAGTCTTACCTTTCTACTCTCATCATCTGTAATGAGTATGAGAATCTTTACTAGTATCATCATCCCTTACTTCTCTTATCATGTCTTACTTCTCTCATCCAAGTCTCATCCTCCTAGTCTCATCAATTTGTATTAGACTCTTCATCTCTCACACTTGGCTACCCGTGAAGGTCCGGGTTAGAATGTGCCTTCAGTAACCCATGCTTGTCGTAAGAGGTGAGTAAAGGGATTGGGTGGTCAGGCCTTGCTGACTTGGTTGACATACCAGTATGTCATCAGATCGATGCTCATGCTGTTGATCACTGGATTGTCTGGTCCCGACTCGATTATTTACAGACCGCTGCCATATAGCTAGAATATTGCTGAGTGCAGCGTAAAACTAAACTCACTCACTCACTCACTCACACTTGGCTCTTTACTCTTTACTCATCACTTCCTTGTGATAATCAGAAGGAAACAAGCAATTCTTCTTTTGTTTTTTAAGGAAGTGGAAACATGTAGATATATGTTTATGTTTAACAATATACAGACTGAGGTTTGCCATACACATCTATGAACCATTTTTTCACTCCATTGAACATCTTGAATATTGCCTGTTCCAGGTCCTACTCTGGTCCCTGACCTCAAGACCTCCCTGGGCCAGTCAGTGGCGTCGGTGCGGGAACAGCTGACAGGTATTCCTGTGGATGTCATCACATATGGCATCATCTTCCACCCCCACCTGTCGGCATCTGGCTGCCGGCTGCCCTTTGCAGTACAGAGGAGCATGAGAGGTAACCTGATGGATCACTTCATAGGAGTACTAGACAGCTGGGCATTGGCACTGTAAAGGTCACAGCATTACATCTTTCTTACCATATTAAAACTGACCACTAAATACTGTTGCATGCCATATCTCACAACACCCTCAATATGATGTCAATCACTGGATTGTCTGGTCCAGACATGATTATTTTTGGCAATTTATGACTGACTGAGTTTGGTTTTACGCCGCTTTTAGAAATATTCCATTAACATCACGGCGGGGGACATCCGAAATGGGCTTCACACATTGTACCCATGTGGGGATTCGAACCCGGGTCTTCGGCGTGACGAGCCAATGCTTTAACCACTAGGCTACCCCACCGCCCCTGGCAATTTATGAAGTGGATATGGGGGAAAAAAAACAATACTTTTTTTTTTTTCTTTAAGTTGACATTTTTGGCCGATAAAACATTAGGATTTTATTTTTTGAGCAGGGAATATTTTTATTTATTTTCTTATTCTTGAAAAAAGACAGTCTTACAGGCGGATCTGTTAAACAAGAAATACAATTGGTCTGGCCTTATCATTAGTTGTAACATTTTTTTTCTTGTCTTCAGAAAACTTTGCCAAACGTCTCTGTTATTTGTCACACAAAGCAACGAGACACCCAAGTTTACGTGATGGTTACCTAGCTAAAAGTCAGACAGCAGCCCAGAAATATGATGTCATCACTGATGAAGAGAAGGTGAAGGGACAACTTGATCAACTGGACAATATTTTCACAGACATTGAGATATTGCTGAGGAGAACAAAAGAAGGTGAAACATCATAGTATTTATGTCTAGTCAATAAAACATTGTCCCTATTTTCAAACTATTGTGGATTGCTATTGCACTAATGCAGCAGCTATGTGTGGATGAGAACAACCTTTCCACTGATTTCTTGTTTTGCTTGAGATGTCCACCACTTGCTAGCTTGTGTTACACGTTTTTTCAGATTTGATTGTTGATTAACATCCCGATCAGCAACATTCCGATAACCTTGGTACTACTGGCACCAGCTCTCTCAGTTCAAACAGATGCATCCCTCATCAGCTAGGGGGGTGTTCTGGGCAGTCTGTCGGTGTCCGGGCGCTGGTCCGAGACCAAAGCCCTCCTTCACATCAATGTATTGGAACAGAGGCCAGTCAGGTTGGTATTCGAAAGCTTCAAGGATCATGTACAGGGCCAGGTGGTTCGTCTTCAGACAGACAACAGTATGGCTATGACGTATATTCTGAAGCAAGGCAGCACGGTGTCTCCAGTGCTCCTTTGGGAGAGGTGGTAGTTCCTCCTGTGGTGCGACAGATACGACTGTCAGGTGATTCCGGTATGTCTCCCGGGGTTGGAAAACATGTGAGCAGACATGGTCACTCGCCGGATCCTGGTCCGCATTAGTAGATGCTCGATCAGAGAATATTCGGGGTTATTTCCCAGTTGTACGGGTCATTCAAGGTGGATCTGTTCATGTCTGGCGGGACAAATCAGATACCAGTGCTCTGCTCTCTGACACCAGACCAGAGGGCATTGGCCTCCAAAGCCTTCCTGCTGGATTGGACAGACAGGGTATTGTGGGCTTTCCCACCACTACCGCTAATCCCCAAGGTCCTATTGCAGCTGTCGACCTTGTGCTGCTGGCACCTCTTTGGCCGACGCAGATCTGGTTTCCGGTGATTCTCAGGTTTCTGGCTCAGCCTCCTGTTCTATTTATTATCTTTACGGACGGACATTCTCACTTACCGGTAGAACGGAGCGCCACACCCGAATCAACGGATTCAATGGGTGGCTTGGCCTCTGTCAGGTCTAATCTCCAGGCACGCAGAATTCCTGCAGCAGTTGCAGACACACATCTGGCTTAGAGGCAGTATAATAATAATAATAACAGTAATGAGAATATTTACGTGCCTTTTCCAGGATTCAACAAATGTTCAATATGAAGATAGGTGGGTCCACTATGTACGCTGGTGTACAGATAGGGGAATTGCAGATCCCTTTTCTTCAGATTTAGTTTGGGTATTGGAGTTCCTTCAGTCCTGTTTGGAAGGTCTTGTGGCCTCGACCATTTGTGGATACTGGATATTTCCACGTTTCACATCCATGTCGATGGTGCTCCTCTGGGGCAGCGCCCTCTCATACAGCGCTTCTTAGCTGGCGTGGATTGGGTTCGACCCGGCCCACCTTTGGATTTGTCAATCATTCTTGATTGGCTGTCCGGTCCTGCCTTTTCAAGCCTGTCGGCTCTCTCCCTTCAGTTGTTGATGTGAAAGACAGCCTTTCTTGTAGTGATGACCTCCAGTAGAAGGGTGGTGATGTTCATGTGATGTCCGCCGAACGGGCACTGATGGTTTTTCATACTGATCAGGTCAGTATTCACCTCCCAGATAGTTACTGCCCTAAGATCTATCATGCTTTCGACTTGACAGCTCCTATCAAACTTCCCACTCTCACCCAGCCTTCACCCATTGGATGTCTGCAAGACTTTCAAGGTCTATATCAAACGAATGAAAGGAATCCATACGGGTACCCAGTTGTTCTGCTGTTATGGTGGTGGGAAGGCTGGCGTCCCTGCTAGTAAACAGACTATATCACATCGGCATGTTTCCATCATTTGTTCGGCTTACAATGCTAAGGGTAAACTTCCCCCTGAGGGGTTAAAGGCTCATTCGGTGAGGGCAGTTGCCACTTCAAAGGCATATGCAGAGGCACTGCCCATTGAAGAGATATGTTCCGCCGCTATTTGGAGCTGGCTGAGCACCTTCATTTGCCACTACCTACTCGACACGCATTCTAAGGGTCGTACTCAGTTCAGTCATTCAGTTATCTCCTGTGGGCAGTGTCCTACCCCCTTGACCTAGTGAGTCTCGTCATTGATTTGGTTCTGTGGTCAATCTGATTATCGACATTCCACTGAAGGCTCATAGCACTACAATCGTGTAACCTTACCACCCTGCTGGGTTTGGTCGGATTATATATGTACCCCAAGGAAGATCTCTTCTAAAATAGAATTTTAAAGAGGTGTAATCGGAACCACAACATTTTTTTTTTTGTTTGGCCTAAATTTAATACCCATCTTACATTGTTGTAGTTGATAACACATGAAATTTCTTCCAACTTCAAACCATCCAATTATGATGTAATAACACAGGAAATAATGGCTTCAGGTATTTAATACAGATTTGAATATCTGAAACAGACCCCAAATCAACCATTTAAACAGAATAATTACAAGGGGTATAAAGTAAATCTTTGTTGGTTTTTCCTTTTCTACTGTAAATCTAAGCAACAGGGTTATTCAAGACAAAGTTGGAGTGGTGAGGCGAGTCTGATAGGGCAAGTCACAAGCTAGCATTAACTAGAGGGGGCTAATGGATTCAGATGACTGGGAAGAAGAACAAACCTACAACTGGTGAGACTTTCTTGTACTACAAGCTGTTACAAAACAAGATCAAAGATGACCTAAGCGGTCCTAATTCAAGTAAGCCAAGCCTTGAGTTACAGGTTTGCTGACATGCAACAAGCCATGGAACCATAAGCTCAAGCCTTTAGTGACCAGCAACACCCTCAATCCTAAGTGCCTTTATCACGTCAAAAGAGCCACACTACCTGCTCATTGCAGTACCTCTTCAAATACATAAATGACTGCAAAGATTTTTTATGAATGTGTTTTTTTCTTATAAGTTCATGCCAGCTATCTGCAAATTTCTTATGATTTGTAACTTTGAAGGGATAACTGGATAACTGTCCCTCCCATTCCCCAGCTAGCACTTTGCAGTGTCACACTGGACTCATAAAGGCCTTCTTAGTGCCAAAGAATACCACCTCTCTTATCCAATTGCTTTCACAGCACACTATTGGAGATTTCTGGTCAGCACATTAATAGAAAGGGAAGTGTACCCCACAGCATCCCCGCAAGACAGTGACAGTCTGGATGAAGGCGATGTCAGCCATCTTTAACAACTGCTGGATGAAGGGACATGGGCCAGTGTTTGAAACTTTGGTGGTATTTCAGCAAGAAGATGTAACTGATGCTGTCAGATAATTTCAGAAGACTGCAACAATTTGGATCAACTGCAATGACAACCTGCCAAACACAATTTTGCTGCTGCTGCTTTTTGCCTCAGGAAGAACCCATTGATGCTGACAGCAGTTATGATGACACCTTTGAGCCGTTGGCAACGTCCATTTGTGATTCATTTAATGGGGCTGAGTGGCTATTGTGCCACAGAGAGAGCACTACAAGGAAGTCTACATAATACAAGCTCATAGTGAATTTTTGCAAACGAAAGGAGGAGGAATGGGACAGTTGAAAACAGACAAAACTCAGTGACTTTTTTAGGAAATAGATATTTGGAATATTTACCAGTTTGGTGTTGGTTTATTCTCTGCTTTGAACAGTTTTCCCATACATATTTATTAGTAGTAATTTGAGACAGTATGACTCGACATGATTATGTATTTCTTATATATAAATCAATATATATATATATATATATATATAAGAAGATGTTTCTGAAATAATCACACAACACGGATCTTCTCCAACATGTTTCACTTTTATCTTCAGGAGATAAAAGTGAAACATGTTGGAGAAGATCCGTGTTGTGTGATTATTTCAGAAACTTCTTCTTATATATGTACTACTGTACGTTCGGTATTCTCATCACTTTCTCTATATATTATATATATATATATATATACATTTTATATACATTACGACTTATGATCTTTTGCTTATCTCCCTTTCCCTTTCGAATGGTAGTGGAACACTTGAATCCCTTGAAGTTCCAGAAGCGGACGTAAAAATACACTCACCCACAATTTGCCTTCTTTTTGGCCTTTCCCGCGCAAACAGTCATGTGACCAGCCTTACTTGTCACTCTCTCCCTTTTCGCCCAAGTGGATGGTTGTGCGAGCACTGGAGTCCCGTATACGGCATTATATCGTTTTTATTTAGGTCCTGTTCTTCAAAATTAGTCTGTGTATGGATTTGGCAATAACTACTATGTATTATAATATGTAAAAAATTTGTAAACATTATTTGTATTTGTGTCATATAATTTCATCGTATGTAACTTTGTTTACATTTCATGAAATCTTGCAGTGTTTGCAGGCTAGGTTATCCGTGGCTGATCCTCACCCTCAATGCCCTTCGTGCATAAAACCATGTTCTTCCAGCTTGCGCTGTACTTATTATGTTGATTTATCCAATCTACAATTTAATCAATATTTGTCTTATATCTATAAGACATGGATTGGGTGAGGAAGTCATCTCAAGTCATGGCTGATAACACAGGAGATCAGCCTGCAAACCGTATGTTGCTTGCTTCTGCTGAAGTTCATAATACTGGTGCTATGTTCAGTACATTGCAGGGGCAGTCTGCTGGTACAGGGGCCAAGAAGAGATCGGCTACAATGCAGTTGACTCCGACCCAAGCTAAGAAAAAAGATGTCATCTTCTTCTACATCACAGAAGAAAGCATCTGTTACCAGATCGGAGGATAAATCTGCGCGGGCTAGTAAGTCAACGCATAAGAAATCCTTCAACGAAGAGATATTACCTTCACATGAAGAAGACGTTTTTGATGATCCCCCATTACTTCTACCCGAAGTACCTACGAGATCAGCGACTCAATCGACTTCTACGACTACTAGATCGTCTCCTGCAACGGTCACAGCAGGCCAGCTGTTTGACGAACTACCACCTACTGCTCAACGTGAAGTCAGGGCACAGAAATCATCAGCGTTCGCGAACGCTTCTTCTATACCACAGCAGCTTCAAC